CCCTGATCTGGTGGGTCTTTGCGGTACGAAACCCAGCTGAACAAAGACCATAAAAGTGACAAATCAAATGTTGATATGACTTGAATCGGATTATCAGCCGCTACGACTGGTAATTGGGGGTCTCGCTGCCCGGTCAGCGAGTGGGTTCCAGGAGAAGTACTATAAATACTTCTCATACTCCTCTGTAATCTGTAATTTCCTTGATATAGTGAAATCGGCTCTCTCTCGCCCGTGGACGTAGCTAACACACATCGTGTTAGTGAACCACGTAAATCGTGTGTCGTGTTTTCGATTCTCGCTTTCGTATTCTTGCTTTGTCGATCCCGGCGATTTCCCGATCCGTAGCAGCGCGTTTATAACATCAAACAACAGCAATCAAACAAAACGATAACAGGACACAGAGCAAGAGAGAGCGGATAACACAAGGCAAAGCTCTGTAGGAATTCAACGACCAACTGCCAACGCCCCCAACCTCTAATCTGGAACGAATCGCCAGTATTTCCCCTGAAAATAAAAGATCAAACAACTTGTGAGGGGAAGTAGGACGAAAGACCAAATGGGAAAAGACTAAAGAGAGAGACCCCTGCGGATGTAGCTCTTCTCTGAGCTGAAGATAAGCGCAAATCAACCCATTGAAAAAAATTAGAGATCCGAAATAGGACGCATACACTAAAGATGAGAAAAAAACAAAGATATGAGATACCTGCAATTAAGGGGATCCGATTTATGCAGCTCCACATCTTTCTCTGGCATTAGAGAGGTAGATTTACAACCCCCGTGGACTCTCACTCAGCTATTTAAGATTTAAGACTGTGTTTTCTAAAAAAAAATGTAATGAAAAAGAGAAAATATGGGTGAGAGCGGACATAGATACTGTAACATGGTAGTTGAATTTTCTTTTACAATAAGATTCATCTTTTATTTCATCACCAATACGAAGAAAGAGGTTACAAATCTCAAAGGAAATCAGAAATTAAATCAAGAACACTAATCCAGTTATCTGGGAGAGAAGATCTAGCAAGCGATCGCGCAACCCAATCTGCTCTGACATTATATTTACGCGAAACCGCCTTGACCTTGATTTGAGGGTTTGCTCTCAGGATTGAAATCTTTGATCCAATCCAGGCTGCTCCTCGCCATGGCCAACTTCTAGGATCTTGATTAAGAGCTTTGACTAACGTCTGGCAGTCAGACTGGACAACACATTCAGTGCCATATTCTTGAGCTAATTTGAGACCTTCCAAAAGAGCTTTTGTTTCGACTTCGAACGGGGTGGAACAAAGGAGGGTGTCAGCTCGCCCGTCACACACTTGCCCATGATGGTTAATGACAACAACACCATATGCCGCCGGCTGGGAGTCGTTTAAAAATGACCCATCACAGTGAATCACCAAATTATGATTGCTTGGCGGTGGAGAAGTGAGTGAGTGGGCTCCCCTGAGCTGAGGAGAAGGAGAGCAAAGGAGGGGAATCCTCGGACAGGTCGTCCATTCAGTTAATTCCTTGTATGTTCTCATAATCACATTCGAATGCCAAAGGATCTGATTCTTGAGAACACACTCATTTCTTACCTTCCAAATATTCCAGCAGAGGAAGATAACATGGGACATGGCTCCAGGGTGGATGGCATCCTTGATATAGTATAACCAGTCAAGGAAGGCAATAGACTGGGCCGGAAGTGGAAGGGTTGGGAAGATAGCATTCCAAGATTCTCTTGCATGGTCACACAAGAAAAGGCAGTGAACGAGGGACTCAAGGGAGCATTGGCACACTTGATACGTTGAGTTATGAGAGCATTTCCTTTTAAAGAGTTTCTCTTTTGTAGCAAGCCCGTTCTTTGAACACCTCCAAACGAAGAACTTAAGCTTTGGAGGGATATCCAGGTTCCACATCCATTTCCACTTTTCCACATTGTCAATCGTTTGGGGTTCCGTTGAAGCTAAGTGTACCGCATGGTATGCCGTTTTAACAGTGAAGATACCATTCTCATTCAATTTTCACGCCCAGTAGTCCTGAGAGTCCATTTCCCCAATGGGAATTCTCAAAATTGCGTCCATTTCTGAAGTAGACACTTGCCCTTGGATCAGATCATTATTCCACTTCCTCCCCTCCTGATCTATCCAAGAATTGACTCGAATATGATCTTGAGGTCCACTCTGAATGCTCGCCTTAGGGAGGGAGGGGACCCAAGGATCTTGATCAATCCATGAGTCATCTCCTGACCCAATCACTCTCACTGCTCCTATATTGATGACTTTCTTGGATTCCGAGAGGCTAGCCCAGATCCACGATGGTTTGCTTCCTTTTTTTGCTGTGAGAAAGTTACCTCTAGGGAAGTAGAGTCCTTTGAGAAGTCGGCTCCATAGGGCATTAGGAGTGGTCAGGAGCCGCCAGGCTTGCTTTGCCAGAAGGGCCATATTAAAATCTCTAAAGCTTCGAAAACCCAGACCTTCTTCTGACTTCGGGGCACACATAATTTCCTCTTCTGCATCGACCCTGACCAGAAGAAATTACTGAGGAGTGAATCCACCTTCTTCGTTAGGGATACATGTAAGAAGGAAGAGGCACATAATGAAAGATGGAATAGCCTGAATTACAGCTTTAAGGAGCACCTCCTTCCCTCCGTGGGAAAGGAGAAGGCTCTTCCACGCTTCCCCCATCTTTTCCGTCCTTTGGATAAGGAAGTAGAAAGTCTCATTCTTTGAGTTTCCTCACTCGTTGGGACTCCGAGATATTTGGAGTGACAGTTGGTAGATGCAAATCCAATGTGAGTAATAATGTCATTGTTTTCCTCTGTTGGAACATTCGCACTGAAGAAAAAGACAATTTGTTGATATTGACCCCATGACCAGTGATTGCTCCATAATCATTGATGATCTCCGAAATTCTACCTGCCTCTTGAGTATTAGCTTTTCCAAATATGTCTGTGTCATCAGCAAAAAGACAATGGGTGAGGGTGGGACATCTAGTGTTAAGCTTAATCCCCTTAATGCGTTCTCCCGACACAGCCTTGTCAACAAGGAATGTGAGAGCATTAGACATAAGGATGAAGAGAAATGGAGATAACGGGTCTCCCTGTCTAATGCCTCTTGACTGACAGAAGGTCTCTGATGCTTCACCATTGAACAACACAGAAAATCTAATAGTTCGGATACAACTGCTAACCCATTTGCACCACTTATCATCGAATCCATATCTTCTAAGAAGAGTTTCCAGGCATTCCCAATGAACCATGTCATATGCCTTCTTCATATCCAATTTCAGCATCATATCTCTCTTGTGGCCCAATTTGTGGTTCTTGAAATGATGTAATACTTTGTGTACAATAATGATATTATCTTGGATGAGACAGCCGCCCGTGAACGCTGTTTGAAGCTCAGAGACAAGAGACGGGTTCCATTTCTTCAATCTGGTGGCCATGATCTTTGATATGATTTTGTATCTGAAGTTGCAGCAACTAATGGGGCGAAATTGACCAATGGTCTCCGGATGGTCAACCTTTGGTACCATCCTAATGTGAGTGTCATTCCATCCATCCGGCATAGACGCAGTCTCAAAAAATTCCTTTATTTCTCTGCAGAGGGTTTCACAAACGGTATCCTAGTACTTCCGGTTGAATTTTCCTGAGAATCCATCCGGACCAGGAGCTTTCCGGGCTCCAAGAGATAACACTGTCTTCCTAATCTCCTCATTGCTAATAGTCGCAGTGAGGTCTTCATTCATCACTCCTGTAACCATCGCTGGAAACCCTTGAAGGAGATGGTGAAAAGCTATAGAAGATCTTGCCTTGAAAAGACCTTTGAAAACCCCCACTGACATACCCTTTAGCCTTGCTTCATCTTCAACCCAATTTCCCATTTCATCCATTAGTTGAAGGACTTTATGTTTTGTGTTTCCTGTATATAGTGCTGGAATGGAAGAAAGACGTATTTTGGTCTCCTTTTTGGAGCCAATTGACTCTGGAGCATTGGCTCCAAAAAGATTCCTCTTCCAGCCAAATTTTATTCAGTTCTTCTGTGAGGTTCTTTTCCTCCTCCACATTTTCTTGCATCCTTGGAGGTTGCTGGAGGACATCCAACCTAGTCACAATTTCATTTTCCCTAAGAATACTATTCTTATGGAAATCTTTTGACCACGTCTTCAGTTCTCTCTCGCATTTGCTGAGCTGGTTGCTAGATTGCCCACCTGGATCCCATTCTCTACATACAATCTCCTTGCATTTTTCTTTCTCCAGCCATCTCTCATCGACTCTGAACGGAGTTCTTCTTCTACTTCCTTGATAGTGGAGGTCTATCCTAATCGGAAAGTGATCTAAACTCACCATTTTTTTCATGAAAAACAACCGCTTCACCAAACTGCGCTCTCCAGGATGGTGAACACAACACCCGGTCTAGCCTTACTCTGACTAAGTTTGCTCCCGTCAGCTTATTTGACCAAGTGAAAGGGTTGCCTTTGAACTCGAGATCGATGAGGGCATTGTCAAAAATGAACCTTTTGAAAGGTTCAACATTCTCGTATCTAAGCGGGAACTTAAGTGTTCCCATAAATCCCTTCTACTAACAGTTGTAGTCGGGGCATGAACAAAAGTACAAAAGAACTTCTTCCCCATGTCAATACTAACATCAACATAGTACCTATCACTACTTATTACATCAATACTAATACATGCCTTCCACCAAACTGTGAAGCCCCTTGACGAGTTGATTGGTTCGAAATACTCTCGATTGGGGAAAATCTTGAGACTTCTTCTATGTTCCTCCCATGGTAAAGGAAACCGGATCGTACCGGCCGGTTGAACCGGTAAAACCGGAAATCGGAGCCTGGCCGATACGATACGCGGTTTGTGGAGAAGAAGCCGTCTCGGACGGTTTGACCGGTAAAACCGGTTCAAATCAAAAAGCCGGCCGGTTTTGGTCTGACCGGGGGCCAGCTAACAGGGACGACACGGCGTCGTTTTGTGGTGAAGGAAAAAAAAAAAAAAAAAATTCGGCCGAATCATCAAAAGCAAAACCCTAATCTTCTCGCCGCTTCGTCCTCCTTCGTTTGCTGCTGCTGGCGACCTCCCATTTCATTTCGAGCGACGACCAGCCCGGCCATCCTCCCTCCTCTTCCTCACCGGCGTATTCTTCTCGAGCGGCGACCAGGGCCCGGCGATCCTCCCTCTTCTCGACCGGCGAGGCGGCGACCGGCGACCAGGGCAGCGACTGCTCCGCGCTGCTCTGCGGTTTCTCTGCTCCAGGCTTCTCCGCCTCTGTTCCGCCACTACTCCGCCGCTGCTCTGGCACGCGTCTCCGGCACCGGCACGCGACTCCCTCCACTGCTCAAGAAGACACGGCGGCAGCAGGTATGGTTGGACGCGAACACGCTTCCCCCATCTTTGAATGAATGGCAAAATTAGAATGAATATAGGCCAAGTTGGAGGAAGATGGTAATTAGGATAATAGAATGTTACCTTCATTCTTAGGAAGGGTAATTAGCATGGCAGTATGTGCTGGAATGCTTCACAGGGATGGAGAGGATACTTGTTGATCATGGCAGTGAGAAACGAGCCAATGAAGCCAGAAAGCGCGCATTGGAGTTTCAGTCGAGAGTTTCCCCTTCAATTGATTTTGTTATAATTTAGTTCTTACTGAACCTTCTGGCCTTCTTGTATTGTAGTTGGTGATGAAGAAGATGAAGGGGACGACTTGCAGAATGTAGACTTATCTACATTTGGTGTTGTTTGACGATATGAAACGTTGTTTGTGAACATTGTAGTGCTTGCTAGTTTGTGTTTGTGGTAGTTGTGAACTTGTGGTTTGAGAATGTTGTTTGGTTTGATAATGTTGTTTGAACTTGTGGTGTAAGAATGTTGTTTGGTTGTTTTGTACTTGATCGTAAACATGAAATTTGAACGATTATTTAGTTAATTCAGTAATGTTGCAGTTTGTTGAATTCTATATTACATATGCTTATTTAGTTTATTCAGGTTTGTTATCCGGTATATCCGGTTTTATTCCGGTATTATTCCGAAACGGTATCACAAATCTGCCGGTACGGTTTTTTAACAAAAAAATAATATTTAATTACAAAAACGGTATTTTGCCGGTACAGAACGGTTGAACCACGGTAGTACCACAAAATACCCTACCACTGGCGGAGCCGGTATGACGTCCGGTACGGTTTCCTTTACCATGGTTCCTCCATGAATTCTTCATTGTTGCAAGTTTTCATAAGAAAAACAATATAAGGGCCATGATGCCTAATAAGACGCTTAGCATAACTTCTTGTAAGCGATTGGCCAAATCCCCTACAATTCCAACTTACTATACTCATGGAAGGTGAGGTGGCTTATGGCAAACAACCGCTGGCGTCGTTTCACTTTGTCCATCCCCGATGCCCTCATTAGTCGACTAGGCCTTGTTCTTGTGTTGCTTCTTCTTTCTATTGCCTCCACTCTTTCCACCTGCAAAAACATAACTGGTTGGGATTAAATTAAAGCAGGCCCCTTCATTAAATCCAGCTTCATTTCCTTCTAGGCCTAGGGCCGACAACCCCTTCCTTTTTTTCAATTTTTGGCCCGCCTCCCCTTCCAATTCAGCTTGGACATGCTAGTAAGAGTTTTGGCCTTGTTTGTTGGGCTGATTTGGCCTACCATCTCTTTCTTTATGGATTTTGAGGGTGGGATTCCAAAGCCCAAGTGAGAGTTGAGAACCCATCTAGATTTTCAACCTAGCCTGCCTGTGTCCCTCCTCTTCCTCAACGAGCCTCAGCCCCCCTTGGAGTGCTACCGCCGCCGACTCCAAATCAACCGCCAAATCCCTCACTGCCTCCCATCTCTGCTCTGTATCTCCCTTTCATCCTCCCTATTTGATCCCTTTCCTCCGCGTGTGCTTCCTCCTCCAATCGATTCACTGTGAATCCCGGTGGCACTTGGTGATTTCCCCTTCTTCTCCTCTTGATGGCTCAGGTTCTGTCGCCGTCGTCCCTATCCTTCCACATGACTCCCCTGACTTGTAATGTTCCCTCCACGTCGATGGGTCTAAGGGTAGCTCTCCTCTTTCTTAGTTTCGGCCTCTGCTAGTGTTCGCCTTATAGGGAGAGTCAACTCCCGCCTTGAGCTCCGATGTATAAATCTTCGAAAGAGATACATGGCCTCTCCTCCTCTTCTCTTCCTTCATTCTCTCACAAGTCGGCCAATTGTGGCCAATTCTTCCACAAAAGTAACAGAGCTCCACAAAGCCTTTCATATTTGATAGTGATTTCTTCGCAATAATCTATACATGTTGCTTCATCGGTGAAAGGGAAGTCAAACCCCGTTGGAACTGGCTCGCTCAGCTCAACTTCAGCAAGCATCCTGGTGAATCTTCTATATCCATTGAAGTGCAGACTGGCTCTATCCACGTTGATGAATTTGGAGAAGTAGAAGGTCCCTATCGGGACTGCATTCTGCTTACATCTCTCGCTTTGGTGCAGCCCATGTATCTGCACCCACACCGCTAGCTTTTTCATAGGCACAACTTCCGGCTCTCCTCTTCCATCAAACTTCGACAGAGCCGTTATTGTGTTTGAAAGGATCCAAGGTCACTCCTGCCAGATTCTTTCACGTATCTTTGCGTCATTGAAGGTGAAGATGAACAGATTCTGGGTTTGTGTGGGTTGGACTCCAATCTCTCCATATTTTCCCCACGCATACCTTGCTGCCCCTGCTGCATTGGCTAAGGCAACTCTGTTTTCAATCAGCATTTTCCCCATCAGCATCGATATTCACCGGCAAGAGTTGGTGGTCAGCTTTGAGCGGTCACCTCTGCCCCCTGAGGAAGATGGATTGAACCTTTCAGTGCTCAGGTTCCCTGTTCTCTCAACTAAATTATTGACATCCGTCCTGTTCTTAGCTCTCTTTTTGTGGGACTTTGGGTTTTGAAGGTGTTTTGGCACAGACAGAGTTGACGAGAGAAGAGGGAAAACAGAGGTTGAAGGGCTCTGGACTGTGGGTTTGCCTTTGCTTCCTCCCCTCCTCTTTAATACACTACCACTTTGTGCAAATGCATTTATTTCCATTCCTTGTGGGTAGATAACCTTCACTTCATCCCTTCCATCAACTTTATGGTTTCCTCTAGCTAATAGGCTGCCATCCTCCTTAAATACCTCTGCTGCACTTGGCTCAATGTTCGTCAGAAGTCGATTCATTTCTATTGCCGAATCTTCCTCATGTACTCCTTTGGCCAGCCTTACACTCCAACTCTCTGTCTTTCCCCCTGCGATGCCCCTGCCATGAAGCCTTTCACTCGCATCTGGTGGCTTCCCCTGTATTCTTATTTTCTTCCTTACCTTTCCAGAGACAATGACCCCTTTCTTAACAATTGCTTCTCTGGGTCTAGGAGCATTGTCAATCACACTACCCCAATTTAATTCGATATAGGCTGAGGCAGGATAGCGAGAGTGAGAGGTAGATTTATCCCTGATGAGTACAACTTCTAAAAATTGCTCACAATGAGCTGGAAAAGTCTCAGCGAAGGAGATGGTAGAAGGAACTGTTGACAGTTCAGAGAAAATAGCCGTTAGAGAGAGACATGAGAGGGAACTTTTTTCGACTTTGTAAAGGCTGCATGGTAGTTGAATTGAGTGGACAAAAATATAAAGACTATGTGGCGTCGCAGCCACCAAGCAAACAGAGGGAAATATCTTAGGCCACTCATGCTTTCTCTGTCTGACACCAGTCCTCTCAACTCTCAAGTACTATTTCCAGTTCTAATACAGTGATACACGAAGGCCAAAACTGCGCTCATCAAGTCTCCGTGTGACTAATGCGGGTCCACATCTGTTGGAATGCAACGGAGCCTCAAGTAGACCAACTCACATAAACCAAAATGGACAACGAACCAGCCATCCCATCAATGGTTCCAAGAGAACGTGTCATTCAAAACCAATCAGAGAACACACTGCACCCTCCCGACACTAAAGTTCCTTCCGAGTTGTAACAATAATTTCAGTCTGTATGTACAGTAGTTTCATTCTTGGCGCATAGTACAGTCCCTTAGTGGGTTTTCTTTTTCCAAAATGTGTTTTTTCAATTATTTTTTAGCTATTGATTGCAAAAATCATCAATTTATGACTAAAGGCGGACCAGAAACTCTAAAATTTGGAAAAAAATATATTCAACCACTTATAGTAGTTTACCAATAGGTAAAAATATATTTAAGTGATAGCAGGACACCACTAAAATTTGTATCCAATCTTTGGTTGTAGTCTGTGTATTGGCAAATAATATTTAAATAGTAGGATGAGTGATTTGTACTTAGGAGACTACCACTATATTTTTTTATTTTTTGTATTCAAACATCTGAAATTTTATTAAGTAGTCATATGATAACTTGACATGTCAATCCTCAATTGAGGTACAAGAAAGATAGGAGGCCTTTGGGCCCAAACTTCTTCATCTTCCCATCCACAAATAATGCGGGCCATATGGTGGTCTGCTTTGTTCCTTTCTCTTCCAGCATAGGCCCATTTGACATTGCATTTCTGCTTGCCACCTCCAGGAGCTCTTTGCACCGATCTCCCACTTTTTTCCTCTCAATTTTTTTTGGTTAATAAAAAATGCATTGAAGCTCGGACAGGCGCAACTCGCAACCTCCCTCTCAAAAAAGTACTCGTTCAGCTACAATATATGAACTAAAATCACAAAACAACAACCAAAGCAACTATAATGCTATACACTATATAACTCCAAGGGTCTTCTGCACCTTCAATTGGAACTCAACCTGGCTGCTGGCAAAAATGGAAAACTCCTACTTAACCTTCATCACCATCTGAGCAGGAGTCCGTGCATTCGTCTCCCCATGCACTCTAGCATAACGTTCCTTCCAAATCATGCTTATACCCATAACCCACAGGACTCTCCCCACTGTTGCTGCATCAGTAGAGAGACTACAGGCAGTCTCAGCCCATCGAAGCTGTGCCACCCAATCTGCAAAGTCAGGGAACCTGCATACACCCTGCAAAAGCGCCTTCATCACGGCCCTACTAAAAGAACACGCATTAAACAAGTGATCATGAGTTTCAATCCCACCAGGGCATAAAACACAGGCAACATCACATTGCACTCCCCAAATGGCAGATGTTTCTTTGTGCGAACTCTTTCCAGAATTATCAACCAAAGCAAAACACAGTGCTCAGGGAATACCGGCTTTGCCCATACCACCTTATACCATGGCACAAGTTGACTAGAGACCCTGATGGATGCCCATACCTGCTTGACTGAGTACCTAGCAAGTACAACCCCATCCCAGGCAAAGATTCCCCCTGCTCCAGTTATATGCTGCTGAGCCAAGCACCTACACTTCAAAATCTTTCTCCAAACCCAAGTGCTAACTGTGTTAGGAGAAATAAACCAAATGCTTCTACCCTTCACCCTATATTTCTTCATCCAGGCCACCCAAAGAGACCCTGCTTCAGCTAGAAGGTTCCAAAAATGTCTGATCACACACGCTTTATTCCATGTTTTCAAATCATGTATCCCCAAGCCACCTTCTTGCCTTAACAAAGCATCTTTAGACCAAGCAACAAGAGCTTTCTTTCTCTTAGTACCATCAACTCCCCACAAGGATTTATTACAAGCATCTTCAATCATTAGAAGGACCTTTAGAGGAAGCAAAAAAATTATCCAATACATGAATACACTAGTAATAACTGAATCTATTTATTGCAACTTCCCAGCATAACTTAGGGTTCTGGCTTGCCAAGTCTGGATCCTCTTAGTAATCTTATCAACAAGACAGTCATGATAAATATAATTCAGTTTTCCATAAAGGAGTGGCACACCCAAGTAACGGACAGGTAAATCACCTAAAGGG